GATGGATGGATGGATGGATGGATGGATGGATGGATGGATGGATGGATGGATGGATGGATGGATGGATGGATGGATGGATGGATGGATGGATGGATGGATGGATGGATGGATCGATGGATCGATGGATAGATAGATAGATAGATAGATAGATAGATAGATAGATAGATAGATAGATAGATAGATAGATAGATAGATAGATAGATAGATAGATAGATAGACAAACAGACTGACTGACTTACTGACTGACGTACAGACAGAGAGACGGACAGACGGATAGAGAGATATATAGAGGGTTTCTTTCAGACATATTTCTGGTTGTGGGCATCAGAGCGGCCACAGCGATAATTTTAATCGAATACTATTAGCCTTTACCAAGATTAGCCTTGAGTATACGTATCTTAAAATATATCGAGCGTAGCGATATTGAATATATCCCGAAATAGTAAGCAGATAACGCTTCGGTTATTATTCTTTTTAAAACTGATAAAAAGTGACAATTTAGTCGTTTGAAAGGTTAAAAGTATATAATCTTTCTATTGGTTTTACCCATTTTGCTCTGCGGGTCCACATGACTTTCCACGGGGTAGTGCCCACAACCAGAAATATGTCTGAAAGAAACCCTCTATATATCTCTCTATCCGTTTTCATTTAATATATACTTTTTTTAAAAAAAAAAAAGGACTTTTGATGAATTTTCACAATCGCGGTTAGATAATATCACAAAATTCCTGTCATTATTACAGAGGCGTAGCGATGGTGTTTGGCGCCCGGGGACAAGATCCATTTTAAAGCGTCCCTTTTTTCTTTTTTTCAACTCTCAAACCCAATATTTTTACCAATAATGTAATATCAAAGTACATTTTGGCGGCCCTAACTAGCTTGAGCCCGGGGACATCTGCCCCCCATGCACCCCCTCGCTCCGCACTTTGCATTATTATCCAGGTAAGATTTGTTAATATATTATAGTAATTAAATAATTTTATACGGTATATTTACTGCTTTTCAGTAATGGGGCAGCTGGAACCCATTTACTGGGACATTGTTTATGTTATTATTGTCTCCTTTTCCCCCCAAAGGATCATGCCTGGATATACTTGAGCAGGCCAGTACAACACACGGCTCGCGGGCCGCATGCTGCCCGTAATCACTTCTTAGCGGCCCGAAAAGTAAAACAATATTCTTTATTATTATTATTTTCTAAATAGCTATCCAACCCGCTCCTAGCATATTTTGGCCTGCACAAGTTTTTTATAAAGCATTACGACCCGCACAGGTTTTCAAAAAAGTATTTCGGCCCGCCTTATATTGTGAGTTGGTCCTAGAAAATGCCTATGACAGAAGCTAAACACAATATTCTGAAGCCACTCAATTTATAATAAAGAGGAGCTGTAATAAAAAGATCTACTACTTGCCCTATAGAAGCTATCTACATGTTAAAGAGACCATTCATTTGAGAACTCTTGGAAATCGGTAACTGTCAAAATAGCAACAAGAAAACTGCTGGAGGGCAATCACTCTCTTTAATAACAAACAATTATAGGGAATTTAATAAAGCATCTAAAAAAAATTGGCAGATTTTACAATTGCTCCACTAGAAAAAGATTGATATGGGCTTCATCTATAACAAAGTACGAGAACCCACTCTCCCTTTACATTTTCATCTTTGTATTGGTTTTCAGATAAGTTAAAATGTTGATATTTATTCATAAAAGCAAAATATCTGCAAAGACCCTTAGTTTCATGCTGACACATTTTATGTTTTTACATCGAGACTTTAGATGTTTAGTTATGTCTAAAAGGTTTTCTGCTCCTGACAGCCAACCTAGACTAAATCTGTCATTAAGATCAATAATGATGGGTTTTTAAAAACAATAAAAGAAAAGTAAAACGCCTAATGTTATATTGACTTAATCGTTGTCCAATTCTTAAGAAAGAAAAAAAATATTAAAAATCAAAGGTAACACAACTCAAACACGTATTATGTATAGGATAACAGTTATCAATGCAAAAAAAATAATTCCAAACAAATTGAAGATTATTATATTTTCTATAATTAAATATTACACGCAACAAATCGATGAAACTATACAAATCCACTGAAAGCTTATCATATAAACAACATGTAAAGAAGTATAGATCGCACCCATCTAGTTAACTTTGATTATTTTTTTTTGCAAACACATCATTTTTAGTATTTGATAGTCTATCAGTTTGTTGAGGCTTACAAAAGAGGTGCCGGTATCATAGATAAAAAGTCAATATTTCTGCCAATTAGAGTAACGATTGCGACCTCCACCCCCCCCCCCGGGTTAGATTGAAACTTAAGCACCGATGCAAGGACTGACACTTGAGCACCCCTGCATAAAGTGATATTTGAGCGCCCCCCGCATAGATTGACACTTGAGCACCCCGCGTAGATTGACACTTAGGTAAGCCGATTTAGACTGATACTTGAGCACCCCTGCATGGAGTGACAGTCGGGCACTCCCGCTTTGACTGACACAATTGTACCAGTATATGAAAATTATTTATCTGGTAAATGTCAAGGAATTATGAGTGAACGTTTCATTATTAAAAAGGACTGCCCCAATTAGATAGGATAAATGTATGTGTCAAGGCTGTGTGCATTTACAGACGGAAGTATGTAAAGCAATTAATAATAGTAATAGATTACGCGAGCTGTTTAAATGTACAAGCATTGAAAGTCCATGTTCCAAAGAGTTTTGAGTTCATTGGTCGAAATTTATATGGGTTTATTAAACGAATGGATACAGATACTTTGATTTATAGAGATGTTGAGAGCTTGAAGTTGTTGGACCTGTAGTGCATTTGAATAGAGAGGAATTCCTTTTTGTTTAAATGAGTAAGCAGAGGGAAAATGACGTGTTCCTTATATATATAGTCAAGCCTTGTCTAATTTTGTAAACTGGTTTACTGTGTAAAATAAACTCTTCCATATTGTTAACATGGCGTGGGAGTGTTACTTGTAATTGATCAACCCAACCACGCAGCGCCCAGCACCCAAGCATATTCCAAGCAAATTAGTAACAAATAGACATCTAAAAGCCCGACATAGTGTGAACCACATTTTTCTCACAGGCTAAAAAAATAATAATATTTTAGGAGTAAACAACCACTGTTTTAAGCGTTGTCAGCAGAGGCGTCATCGTCTTTTGCAACTATTTCCTCCAAGGTAAAACACTTGGATACGCCTCCAGCAAGTGCCGGGCTGTCAATGTTGACGTGTATAAGAAAGGTTTGGAACTTCTTGACATTCTTGTGGTGGTCCAGCAAGTGAAGGAAATCTGGATTGTCTACGAAGAAAAGAGAGTTTTCGAAAATAAAATTAGGGCTGAAAAATATAAATGATTAAAATTAAATTGACACAAGGCAATAATTCCATGCCACCCATTTACAAGGTTTTAAATTTGTTTGCATTTTTAATTTATGCAGGATATGAACATATTGGGTTATTATCAAGGGTATGAGAATCGCTGTTATTAGTGTGAACCATTTATGAGGTGAATTGTTAGCGTCGTTAATGATTTATTCCATAATTATGTGATTTTAATACACAAGGCATTTCAAGGAGTTCTGATTGTTACGGTGTGGTTGAAGGTATCAAGTGTTGTGGCTATTGACATCTGAAGAATATGAATATTATTAAAGAGTGACTTTGACTTCATGAAGCGTTAATAGCCCTTGTGTTCGCAAGCGTTAGCGTGAACCTTGTGGGTTGAGAATGGCACTGTAATATAATATCAATATCCTTAGACAATGTGGCCAGATAAAGTCGATGGGGTCTTAACCAGGAAACCGATTACTTTGTCAGTTATCATGCAAGGTATATTTCATTAAAACTTTTCAGCTTCTTTCATTTTCTTTCTCAAAACATGGCTGTAACTATAAACTGAAATTGTATGAACTTTTTGTAACCCATATGATCTACTGGCAGAGGGATTTGGGTCACTGACAATTGCATCCCCATTTATATTTCTGTTTGACATACAATTAAAGTAAAGAACTAATATGACAAGATTTGTACAAATACACGAATTAATATTTCATTATTTCAATCTGCACTTTATTTTTTCTTTAAAAAAAATCTCGCGTCCATTCAGTCATTTTTTTTTCATGGAACGAGCTCCAAAAAAAACCTTTCTGGGTCAAAATTTAGGTTTAATATATTATTTGAATAGTTTACTTACTAGAGATGAGAATAAGTCTACTCATCAGTGGAATCATCTCAGCAAATTTCAACAAGCTGTTTTGAATTACAGGAGCAGGATCCTCGAAGGTGTGAACAGTTTTGAGCTTACAAAAATTTGATTGAAATACAAGTTATTATTTTATAAAAATATATATATATTAAATCTATATACTTACAAGAGAGAAAAAATGAAATATTGTACTTGGTAAAAAAAAGTTTCTACTCTATCTAGTCATTTAAATACTGGCTCCACACTTGCAAACCATGCACACGTACATACAGATATATACACAGGGCCGAGCCCTGCAATTACCTCTACACGCACTCAGCCTAACACATTGTGCCCAAGTTTAGGCCTAAATGAAAATAGATGAAAATTTCGTTCAGTGGTCATTTTTTTTGCCTATGCTTTAACAAAATGTTCATATTCATCCAAGAATCTAGGCTATTTTGATCTTAACCTTAAACCATTCTAAATGTGTAGCAAAACTTAAAGAATTCAAATTGAGCATTGCATACCTTTAAGTCTTGTAACTGTTGCAAGGTGTCACCGCCTTTTGAGACGTCATAGAAACAGACTATTTCAGATTCAGAATAGTTTTCATCAACACATTTTTTTCTAATAGCTTTAATCACGTCATGGACTGTTGAGTTTATTGGTACTGGACAAGTTTCCATATCCCAGAATATGCCAGCTGGTGCCAGCGTAAATTGTTCTTAAAATATAAATATATATATATAAATATATATATATATATATATATATATTTATATATATATATAATATATATATATATATATAGAGATAGATAGATACAATAACATGGATGTATTGCGAAGAAACACAAATAAATTTGTTTTAAAAAGAATACACTTTTGTGGTCATTATTGAACAGTTAAAGTGCATGTATATCTGAATTTGAACTTAAGTTACGTTTATTTCTAAATTTAAATTTTATAAAATTAAACCTTTAATTAACCCCCATTTGACACATAGTCATGAATTTTGCTGTCCACCTGTTACATTTTTGGATGATTATTTTATTAAGTTATTTGGCTAGTTAATGATGCCTACCTGTATAAGAAGATAACGTGATTTAAAATGTGTCATTAAATTCAAATAATTATGGTAAACGTACTACGCCCAGGCATCACAAATATTTTTTTTCCGTTATCAACCATAACGTTGTTGTTTGCGTCGTATACAAATATGGATTTGGTTTGTGCTTGGAGGAGGAAAGCCATGGATCGCTCCAAACGGAATGATGGGGTGTAGCAGGCCGCTGATGACGAGTATGATTGGTGCTTGGAAGTTCAACATTTAAAAAACTTGTCACCCGTTAGGTTTCTATAATATGTACATCTTTTGTAACTTTAAAAATTTGTACATATGTTACTACCATGTCCCTCACCGTCAATGTTTTTTTAATTGTGTGAAAATTGGTGCAGAATTGATGTTTATTGAATCGTACAAATGGTCTTCGAGGAAGCCATCAAAATAACAGACTGGCTGAACGATGTAATACTTCACAAATTGACATGAAAATAAAATACATTTACTTGTAAACTTCTGTAAAACCGGTCCAAATGAGGGCAGTATCTGAAAAGCCAATGCTTGTTCGACTGATGACTGTGTTTGAGAAGCTTGTGCAATCTGCTGTGAAGCTTGTCGATCAGTTGAGATGTCCGTTGGCATGGGAGGTGGTGAATTATTCTTACCTTTCAGTTGTGGCTTTTTAAATAACATATTTAATTTAGACAATGAACTAAATACAAATAGTACTAATTTTCAAAAGTTAAATGAACTCCTTTTTAAAAAGCGTAGTTTTTTTATTATCACAAATATATGTTCATACAATACGAAACAATATCACCCGATATATTGAGATAAAAATCGCAGGCACTTTGCGATAATTTTGTACCTGTTAAAGCGAAAACTCACCACAATTCTTTATTTTTAAAAGAAGTAACTATAAGGAATTTGTTTTCTTTTCTAACATCATTAAAAGTTTTAAGAAGTATTTTTCTGTTATACATTATACTCCTACCTTACATCCTTTCGAGCCCTTAAACTACATTTTTTTCCCCTCTAAACATAGCCTTAAATTACCAAATCTAAATGATCACTCATTAAATCATTATTGTCACTAAAGGAGTTCATTGATTGACGATTGATTTCTACGCTAGAGAAATACGTTTTCCTAATTGTTAAAGGTTAGGGCTACCCTACCACTTTTCGTGCCCCTAAACTAATTTTTTTGCCTTTGTTTTCTACTAGATTATTATCGGAAAATAGTAAAACAAAGAAATCTTTTATCTAAAGAGGTATCTCCTAACCGTTTTTCACCGTTATGAAACGCCTTTAGTGTCTGTTTTACAAAGTTTTTACTAACCTCTTAACAATATTCACCCACTTAACTTTTTGCAAATTAAAATAAAAAATACAGTTGTATTTTTTGAAAGAACATCTTAACCCATCTCTATTTTTCAAAATTAAATTTCCACATGTGTAAAATGATAATGTTTTGAGATTCATGGGTAGACTTATGTAAAAGTACCTACGTTTTGTTAACGCCATTGATTTTCTTAATTGGTTAACGATTGTTTATTTGTAAAAAGAGAATGTAACATCTCTTTTTCACAACTGTAATATCATTGGATTTAAAGATATTGTCGTACACGTAAAAATTTACACATCCTATTTCCTATCCCTGATATATATGTACCTAAGAAGGTTTAATCTTAATCAAATATATTCCTTTATTCTGAGGCGTATATCTTTTGCTGCCTGGAGCAATATGAAATTTTTGAATCCCCTCCCCCACTCCACCCCCCTCCTGGAAGATTTAATAAAAATAAATTCATTCACAGAGTTGTAGCTAGGGGTCGCAATCCAGGATCCCGACTCTGGAAAATACCGAAACTTTGAATAACAAAAATGTTTGATTGTTTGACCTCCTTTAATTATGCCAAACTATCGACACATTTAAAACTATGAGTAAATCCGTATTTTGATTATCAAATACCTTAAGTTTAAAAAATAGACAAATTATGTTACTACTATTTTGTAAAAAAAAACATTAATAATTCACATTCACCTCATAATTGATTTACGAGCTATTTTGTCCAAGGCGGTAGCCCCAGTTTGTCTCTACTTTACCTAGCCATATATTTACATGACTGAATGCCCCAGTTTGTCTGGACGGTACCTAGCAAAACATTTGTATGTCTGAATGTCCCAGTTTGTTTGGATTGTACCTAGCCAAATATTTACATGAAAATTTTTTTTTTTTTTTTTTTTGTCAAACCAAATAGATTTAATAAATACATTTTCGTAAATGATTTATTTCCCCTTCATGTTGATAGAGATAAAAATGGAGGCCACTGAAAAAAATAAACCAAAATATGAAAAGAATATGAAAAACATTTGTATGTCTGAATGTCCCAGTTTGTTTGGATTGTACCTAGCCAAATATTTACATGAAAATTTTTTTTTTTTTTTTATGTCAAACCAAATAGATTTAATAAATACATTTTCGTTAATGATTTATTTCCCCTTCATGTTGATAGAGATAAAAATGGAGGACACTGAATAAAATAAACCAAAATATGAAAAGCATATGAAACTATCGGAAAAAAAGACATCCGTTTGGGATTGTGGAGTCTGAGCGGAAGTTCTCGTCATCTGGTCACTTTTCTAACCATTTGCGCTCAAAATTTAGCGATCAAAGATTAGACATGGTGTCATTGTTACGATCTCATTCATTGAATTGGACCAAAGACTAAAACTACACAAATTATTTTATTATTTGATAATGTCTGAAGCTAGACATTTGTGTTCTTGTTAACAACTTAATAAAAATCAAAATGCTATTTCTTTTTTATTGTTTTTATTCCTTTAATAAATCATCATCTCTAATTTCGATACAAAATTCTCTTAATATTGATAAAAAAAAAATTCAATATCGAAAATACCGGTTTCGATAAAAGGGACCGGTTTTGCGACCCCTAGTTGTAGCCCCCTTAGTATACATTCACACATTTTTGCACTTCCCTGAAAGTAATTAAAATTCTTGAGTTCTAGACCCCTTTTAACACACAATGTTGTATATTTTTTAAAACAAGATGTTTAATTCTACTCATAACTCTGTAATAAGACATATTTTGTTTTAATTATATAACATAAAATGTGTACCAAAGTTCAAATCTGTCCTATAATTGTATTTTTATATACATACTAGCTAATATACCCGGCGTTGCACAGGATTGCATTAGGACCTCATCCTGGTGTGACCCCCCGATCCCCTTGGGACCCCTATCCCATTCTCACACCGATCTCGGCGCAGTCCCATTTCCCTGTGTGATACCGATCCCAGTGGATCCATTCAAGTTTAGGACCCCGATCCCAGTGGGATCCCGTTTTCTGATGGGATCCTGATCCCTTTGGAATTAAGATTATTATGGGATCCCGACCCCTTTGTTTCTATTCCAAACATAAAAAAAATTACTCACTTTTACTGAGAGAGTAGTAAACTTCGGGAAAGTATAGAAATGACTAGAACTAAACAAAATTTCAAAAATCCCTTAGATCCCACTTTATATCCCCTTGGAACAATTTAGAACTTTCTGGAACCTTCTAGATTAAATTTAATAACCTGCTGGTTACATGTGTAAAAACTACTCTTCTACTTATTTAATTATTTTTAATAATAGCATAAAAATCTTCAACAAATGCCATAAATATAATCCTTTTTCTTTTAAGTTAATAGAGGGGTCCCGGGGGCCCATTTCATAACTGTACCGATTTAATTATGCCTGATAAAGGGGGCCTTATAAAAATCAGACAAAAAACATTAAAGTTAAAATGTTAATTCTGTCCCATTAAAATCGATTCAGAAATGCCGCAGATAGAGCTTTTTTAAAATTATCGAACTTTCTGGAAAATTCTAGATTGGATATTATTTGTTTTAAATCCACCGATATTTCAATACGGACTAAGAAGCCTAATGAATAAAGCTAGGCTTAGATCCATAACTTCACACATAACCTATAACGTTGTCTAACCATATTAATATTCATATAGCTTATAGTAGGAAACATGAACTGGGGCCCCCGCCCCAGAGAAATGGATATTATGAGATCAGTACCCTTCAGTAATTGAATATGGATAATGTTGTGTATGTCTAATAAGTTTGGTCAAAATCCATCCATTCATGTAGGAGCGTTAAGCCTATTGATATTTATGATGCTTATATAAGGAAAAATTAACTGGGCCCCCTGGCCCCAGAGAAATGGATATTATGAGTTCAGTACCCTTCGGTATTTGAATATGGATAATAAAGTATATGTGTACCAAGTTTGGTCAAGATCCATCTATTCGTGTAAAAGCCTTTGTGGAACAAACCCACAAACTTTCACTTTTATTTATAAATATGATATATATCAAATTGCACAAATTACAACTTCATTTAGTTTGTTATTTGGATACGTGAAAATTTCGTTATTGAGTGTATTTGGCTAAGAAGTTTGGCTGCACTGATTGACCTCTACAGCCTTTTCTAATTAAAATTATATTATTATTATTATTATTAGTGATCTTATATATTTAAAGGTTAAATTTTAATTACTTTATAAATTTGATAAAAGTATATGTTTTGGAATGAAAAATAAGTTAACTCGTATAATCTGTTAAAATTACAAAGAAAAATTTTTGTTTTATTAACAATTTTAAAAGCAATGAATTATATTTATTAATTTTACTTTTAAGAAAGGGAAAATAAATTATCAGTTTTGTCACGCGTGCTTATTAAATGAAGAAAACTTAGAGCTTTAGCTAAAATAGGCAATTCGCTCTATGACATCATATGCATGTTGTTTTAGACAAATTAATTTGAATTTTATTTCGTAATATTAACAACGCACTGAAAAAGCACTAAAACAACTGATTTTTGCATTTTCCGGATAAATATGATGACGAAGTAATTCTTTGATCATCATTTTTTAATTAAAAATTTGTTTCATAACTTTCAGACTGGGATAATATGCTGACATTTGTACCTTTATTTTTTATTTTAAATGTGTATATGTATAATAATAACTAGTATATATGAACTGATGTGATGTTATCTGGATAATAAAGGTAGGTCCTTTGCTATAAATTCTACCTGCCATTGGAAATCCTCGTCACAATTCCTAGCTTTTTTTAAAAAAAAGTATCCATGCCAAGATATTTTCGTTTCTAAGATCATTAAGTTTTAAGAAGTATGTATCTGCTTTATATTAAAGGTGTTTTTTTTTCTTTTTTTTTAAATTATAGGCTACATTATCAGGAAATCGTAAAACACGGAATTCTTTTATTTAAAGAAGACTCGCGCATTCGTTTTTCACGTCTATATCAGACTGGAGTGTCCTATTATTTTTCAAAACTGTTCATGTTATAAAAATGCACTCCAATTTTACTTTTCGGAAAGTAAAAGCTAAAAAATATTGTCATTTTATAAAAGGAAAATATCAATCCATTTCCATTTTTTAAAATAAATTTTTTAAAATGTGTAAAATGAATGGGTTTTTATATTCATGGGTATACTTATGTAAATACACCATCGTTTTGTTAACGTCCTTGAATTTATTAATTAGTAAACATGTGTTAATTTGTAAAATTAAATGTGACATCCTTTTTATCACAAATGAAATGCAATAGTATTTAAATATATTGTCATCCACGTAAAAATATACACATCCTATTTTTTACCCGAGATATGCATATACCTCAGAAGGTTAAATTTTCATCAAATTCATTTTAACATACTACATACTATGACAGTAGGCTGGTAAATATTAGTAAGTAATTGAATAACAATTTATGTTTGGGTTTTCCCGATAAATGTGATTACAGTGTAATTCACTGATCATATATTTTGTTTTAAATATTTTTTTTGCATTGGATTCAAATGCATATAAAATGCTTAATATAATCCCTTTATTGATATTTTAAATGTATATGTAATTCATATTAATAATACTTAAAATTTTACTAAAATAAAAAGGATATATCATATTTTCCGCTTTAAAATTTTTCGATTCCCGTAAAATAATAGAAAATAACTGTAACTATGATAGTTTTTCACAATCAGAACGTATTTAAAATTTTTCACGTCTTAGCGTTACGGTCAGCCTCGATAATTCTTTTATATATAGACTTAAACATTTTTATTAAACTAGAAACAGATACATATTTTTTCGCATTTAAATTTATTCGATTTCGGTAAAATAATAGAAAAACACTACTATCGTTTTAAGAAATCTGAACATATTTAAATGACTTCGTCTCTTTGGCGTTATGATCAGCCTAGCTCAATCATACATATATAGTGTAATTTTTGCTGCTGATTTTGATGCAAATATTGATTTTTTTATTTAAAAAGAAATTTAAGCAATTTTTTTTATGTTTAATGTTTTTATTTCATGGTTTTAATGTGTTGTTTCCTGCAAATAGCTATGCGAGTTTCTGCACAAATGTACCCTGGAAAATATCATCTAACATTTGACATGAGTTGACTACTCACATTCTTTTTGGGAGCTGCTTGTGCCAAGTTCCCTGTCTTGGTCTCCGCATCCAACCCGCCAGTTTTGTTTTTTACCATCATTTCTGAAATATATTAAATTATATTTTTCATATTGGTAGTCTCGTCTCGATGATTTTAAGCATCGTTTACAAATCTACCAACTAGTGCATCTTGAAGAGTATTTTAAGCTTTATATAAGAGACAGAGATCTCTTTTTTAAATTAACAAAACAAAATAAATACGAAACTCTGAATCGCTTCTCTGTGTTCAGAGTCTTCCATGAGAGTAAATTGGATTTCTTGCCCGTTCACTTGCTCACTCTGAACATTTTTCACTCTGTAAAAACATGGAATATTGAAAGGACTGCAACAATTAATATTTTTTTTAAAAAGTCAACATACTATGGTGGTACCCAGATAAATATTAGAAATTAATTGATTGAATAAATTTAAAAAAAGATACATACATGTATTTTATGTGCAATTTCGTTTAATAAATAAATGGTATTGGTATATATCAGTAGAACATACTCATTGGCCTTTTCTATATCTGCTACTTTAATTATTGAAAACTTTGCTCCACATTTCACAACTGAGCCTTGCCAAGGTTGAATTAGGGTTTTCAGCTTTTCTATGACTTGGTCGCTTTGAAAATCTTGGCTGAACTTGTAACCAGTGACCACCAGCAAAATGTCCGTAGGAACCTGGAACGTATTGCCACGCTTAAACTTAAGTGTTTGAATCTAAGAGTTCAATGTAAGGAAAGAACAAGCCATGTTAACAAATAAAGAAAAGCTACCTACATGCCAGCCTGTGGGATACAATTTAAACTCTAAACAAATGCATGTAAAACTGTACATAAAATATATAAAGTAAAAATAAGACAATTCAACGTTTTTTCATCATCTTTTACTATGATTTACATGCACGAATGAAAACAGGAATTATCTCCCATTAATTTAGCGCACACTTTTTTATAATAGAGGGGTGGGGCCCGGGGGGGGGGGGCAATCAGGTTATTTAGATAAAAATATGTAAAACGAGGAAATGGAAAACCTGAAAAACGTGACACTAAAATCCCAAGCAGCAAAATTAAGAAGCTCTTTTCAGCAAACACTACTAATGAAGATTAACAAATTATTTTTTTTCTTGAAACTAGCCAAAATGTTGTATTCCTAAAGGATATTTCTCTTGCTGTATGATTATAATCAAGTTGTTGTTTTATTACACTAGTCAGTGGCAATTTCAGCATCTGGATCCATGTCTTATAGATTCAAATGATCATTTTGAAAGCAATTAAAGATTTTTCTTATGTTCATTATATTAATATTGACAGCTTAAGTAATACAGATTCCTGTATTTAAATTAACATAGTTAAAAAAAAATGAAATCTTTTTCGTTCAGTTAACCGTTAACTTTTTTTTTACCACATTGGAGAAAAATTCTCATGAATGCGCTATGCGACATTTTGATATAATAGTTCTGTTAATTTTAATTTCCCAGCAGAAGTAAAATAATAAATACAAAAAGAAAATAATAGAGTTTAATAATCTAACAGCTTTTCGGCTTAAAATAATTTACAGTAATACAAAGAAGAAGATAACACTTGCTTTCAGTGTTAGAAAGTGTTGACAAGAGACATGTTAAATTAACTTAAATTAAGCCATGACATAGTAAAAATAGGAATAATGATTAATGATATTCATTGATAGTAATGCTGTCAGTGGTGTGGCTAGGGGGGCAGACTGCTCCGGGTAACACCATCTCAGGGTGGCAAGAACAAATTTAAAAAATGCATATTTGCAAAAACCACAATGCTCGGTCTAACCAAATTTCATAAAAGGATGACCGATCACAGGTAAATTTCTCGCACATGTAACCAATCAAAATATATGATGTATTACAAGTTAAAGACTGATGGGTAAGAAATGATGTTACCTTATAATTAGGCCAGAAAAAAACACAGTGTTTGACAATGGTTAAAAGCCAATTGAAGTTTTGTTTAACTTTCTTAAGTGACACTCTCTTGCAGAAAATGCTTCAAGTATTATATTTTTGGTATTCTTGAGAGAATATTTGTATTCTTTGCAACATCCACTCACCGATGTAATGTTTTTATTGAAAAAAACAACCTTGCATTTTGGTGATAAGACTGTCTTGAACACTTTGTGGAGTTCTCATCATGCTGCCGTTAAGACAGTGGAAGATAATTTTGATGAATGTTTGGTTGCGATTGAAACTCTATTTGATCCTCTTGAAATATGGGATACAAAAGGTACAGCAGAATGTTTCTTACATGCTAACTGTGATTTCTCATTTATCTACTACCTCGAGATCTCTTATTTTTATTCATCTTTAAAATTACTTTGTTATATTCTTTTTTTTTTTTAAAGCCTTCACTAAAAATGCAGTCGGGGACAGACCACACATCAACTCCTTCCTTAGCTTCTGAGTAAAATAAAAGTTTGATAATTTTATCCACTGACAGCTGAGCATGGAAAGTCTGCATTCATTTCATATGAAGTGTTTTAACAGATTCTGTTTTTATGGTGAGCTATTACGGACACTGTATCTGCAATAAAATGTTTTAAATATTACCTAGGCTACCTAGGCTTACCTGAGTTGTGTGAAGTATTGTCATAAAAGTTGGTCCAAATCTCTGTCTATCATTTTTTAAAGTGAATTGTATAAATTTGACAACGGAGTTTGATAAAAATAGATCAGTCCAACAGAGAATAGCTTTATGCAAACTTACCAAATGTCCATCTTTTTCTGGCAAGCCGTCAGTTAGGTCTGAGTAAAGAAAATGCTCACTGGCGTGTTGCAGAAGTGAAGGGTCAACATTTTGCTTGTGATACAAAATCACTTCCATTTTTTTATCGTTTTTGATGTATGCCAATTTATCAGAAAAGTCTTTGTCAGCTTAAACGTGTAAAAAAAAAAAGTAGTATTTTAATTAAAATACTAGATCATAATTCAATGTGTTCTAAATAATGAGAGAAGGTAAGGGCTAGTTATAGGTAAAGTGAGTAAACTGACACAAAAATCCTCACATATCCCTGGTTTCACATCGACATTAAGTGCCGTTATGGGACTTTTCGGACTAAAATCACGAGTGTGTATTTTCCATGCCCGTATTTTGGTTAGAACTTGAGTTAAAATAGTTTAATTTTAATAAATCATAATACTTGACCATGAGCAATGTTTAAAAGAAATTACAATATCTGCTTTAATGGAAATACAATAAGATATGTTTATATAATACGGACAAGTAAATACGTGAGCATAAAATATATATTTGTGTAAGTTTGTGTCCCCTGTTGAAATGGCCAATAGTGACCCGGATTGATTTTTTCATCTAGCTTATCAAAGATCGCTGGTTATTTTGATTCATTGCTTACTGCTAATGAGAACTACTCTTGACCCAATTAGATATGTATCCGCAAAGGTCTGCATGCTTTGTTTGATTTTCTCATCTGCTGAATTTTTCCAATCTTTCGAACCTGCAGGTACATGCTGGACATCAACCTAATAAAAGTTGTGAAGAAAAAAAAAATCCTTTACAAGCATACTCAGACTTGGTGTGGGGTTGGGGGGGGGAAGGAATGAGTGTACGTGACTTAATATGTTAATCGTAAAATTACTACATTACAGCTTTAGTATTGTTGTTTTTACCAACATATTTAAACTTCAAGTGAGTTTTTAATTTGCATTCTCTTTTTGTCTTTGGGTAATTTTCAACTAGCTAAATTTCTAGACTGCAGAATGCTGCCGAGCTTATCTTTGTTACAGAGCTGATTATGAAAATAGATGTGAATGCATCAAAATTTGGAGCATACTCAAATTTATCTATTCCGAAATGTGTTATTACATTTTCAAAGCAGAGGGGAAAAAACAAGAGTTCCACCCCGCATCAAAATGATTGAGGTAGGGATGCATCTCATCCCTTATCACAGAGTATCCAATTGGTTAGTAATTGAAGACACACAAATAGACTGCTGCAATTCAAAAAGAAAATGTATCACATAATTATCACCCTTAAGATAGCTGCGTCTGTCGGCATAAACCTGTCCCGCTGCATTTAACAACTGGTCAACTGGCACGCTCATGGACGGTTCAGAAAAGAACCACATAAAATCAAATGAATGTAACAAATAAATGATTTAAGTAAATCGAGGTTTCCCAGACATTATTTTAAATAAAGATTTCAACAAAATAAAAAATTAAAATATTACCATTCCGTTATTATGTTCCCCCAAATCTTTTTACCTTTTCCTAAGCCTAATTGATTGTGACAGATCGGTTGCTACGGAGGAGGGCTCCGGTCCTGACTTATCACAAACTATATTGACTTAGTAGTGGTCAGTACAGCACCGCTCTTATCTGAGATTTATATTGTTGGTATCTAGGCATTGAGACAGACAAAAGCACAACGTAGACTTGAACGAAATCCAACAACACAAACTCCAGGTATACAATGATAAATTAGACTATATTTATTACTCAATTAAAAGCTCTTCTGTAGTTTTCAGTGTCAGCTATCTATGACTGTCTATAAACTGTTCAACTGTATTCTTTCAACTAGTCAACTAGTCAATTGTCGTCTCCTTATCTGTCTCTACTGTTCTACCTCTACACTACTGCTCTACCTCTCAACTCCCATGTTTCGAAAAAAAATTCTTCCTTATATTTACCCGTCATGTGACAATAAACTCTGCTAGCTAACCATCCCACGGTCATTGAATTGCCACATCATTAAAGGTACAATTCCCCGATCAGATCCTTTTACCCCCGGACGTCTATTCCATGTCCATAACCAAATATTAGAATCTATCACGTTGAGACTTTTACTAATACTGATAATTAATCTAACTCTACCCATGGTCTTCGTGAACATTCCATTTCCACCTGCAAACTGAAAACTCATTTATCGAAAACATTTGTGATACCCGTTCCCCCACTGTCCACCTGGAGTATCGATTTCCCCAAACTATCATGTCTTCCCTGTACTACCATAAACTCTGCCGATGTCAATTCCCTCATCTATTGTACTTTTGTGCGGCACCCACGCCCATCACTCCCGTCTCCATCGAAGTCATTTGTGACACTGATATTTATAATGCTTTTTTGGGAAATACTGAACACATAGTCATTATGCAGCTGTGAGTAGTGCTTGCAAATGACTAGTCATATTTCATACGATGACAGCATGAAGTCGAGCAATAATGATTGAAAAAAAAGACAAACTGACACACTGACTCTCGGTAAACGACCGAAAGCCTAAATGACATTGAGCAGAAACTGAAACTCAACCGAAAGTTAATCTTTCCGTTTCAGCTGAGACTGATACTGATAGGGCCCTGAAAACGATCAAATGGTAACTTTCGGGCACAGAATCTGAAATTTGGTCAGAATCTACTTTGAAGAAAAACTTTATATTCTTGTTTGTTGTTACGCATATTATTACAAATGATTGGGTTCATATTGTTGCAGGGATGATTATGCCGAAGATTGGTTGTAGCTATATTAACAATGTAATACACAATATTAAGTAAATTAAGTAACTGAATTAGTAAACCTTTTTAACGAAATTAAACATTATCCTTATTATAGAGTTAAAATAAATTATTTTATAATTTAAAGTTTGTGTGTCGTATCAGTGATAAGGCATTTGTACATGAAATGTTAATTGAAAAATTTAGAACAAACAAAAAGCCGTAGGGTAAATAAGTTCTATGAAAATAGATCAACATATGTGAAATAAAAAAACTTTGCAATTGTCACTCGTCAATATTTCAAGAACACAAAATTGATTAAACTAATTGTGAAAGGGAAAATTAGCATGCGTTTCTGAAGTATCCATTCCCTATAGACTACCGTAGGATTTAATCTTTCAGGGGTGTTAAGTACTTGAATGTATAATGTGACTGCTTGTTTTTTTTAGAGATTATATGTTTTGCTTTAACTATTTATCCTTTAGTTTATTGTGACGTATTTTGTGGGAATGGGAAATGACGTATAGTATTGTGTAGTGTTGTTCTTGGAGTAATTGCAGTTGAAGATGTAGTTTAGTTGTGTAAATAAATATACTTTATCCTATGAAGCATTGGTTTGTGTAATTACTAAAACCCCTAGACTACGAAGCTATTGAACTTAGGGGTAGATCCAGTTTCGTAACAAATGAAAGTAGAAGCAAGCACTGATGGTGTTTTAATCTTTTCATAGATATGGAATTTCAAGAGGTTCATGAAGTAAAACTTCAACTTCTATAGAATTATCTTCACTAAATTGTCCTGTTCTGATTGTCTTAAACACAAATTTGCAGAGTTGCAGATTGTAATGGAACTAGGCTAATCTTTCTAAAATAAATAAAGATTAATTAGGTTTTATGAATGCAAGTATTTTATGGACAGTTGTAAAACTACAAACCTTTCCTTTGTTTAAATCTTCAATAGTTGATTCTGATTCCTTTTTTGTATCACATACACACATGAATACTTTTTCAGCATATTCTTCTGTGACAACAGCTTCCCTAATTTTGATGATCAGGTGTCGCACTGACTTTCCAGAAGGTATAGCGCAGTTCTGAATGTCCCAGAAAATCCCTACAGCCTTTATACCTAAAAATTATTGCAGCACTTAAAAGGTCTGTTAGCAAGTTTAGGGAATGTAATTACACACTTAAATAATTGTTTGAATTGTATAATGCTAATGTTGCGTTTGTTTTAAATGTGGTAAATTATAGATTTGTATTTCGTTGACTTTGTACCGCGCTTCGAGCCTTTGGGGATGAATCGTGTTTTTGAAATGAACTTTATTATTATTATTATTATTAATATGGGGAGTAGAGAAATTATTAAGGTATAAAAATGATCTTTGCTTAGGCTTAAAGAAAACCACTGAAATAAAGGTCATTACTTATGACTTAAAATATCATATCTATTTTTGCAAGAAAGATTTACATCGGCTTACCATTTTCATTGTTTGAGGCTTGGGTTTTGTAATTGAGGTTACCCTTTACAACCACATTTTTAGCGTTGTGGATGTTGACGTGTTTAGATGGGCCCTGAGCAGTTTCTTGTGGCTTCGAAGAAGAGCTTGGACAAATTGGCTCAGCATCAGAAGACACATCACGAGAAGCCCTATTGGCCATTTTCCACCCAAAATCTGTAAAATAGCATACAGATCAGTTTTAGGTTATTTTTATGTATTCCGCAACAATACTTATGGTTGAAACACAAAACAATGGTGTAATTGAAACAATTATGTGCTTGGTTATCTTAGCTTAATTATGCTGAGAAAATACAAATTGAAACGTTTTGACAAATGCCTTCAACAGAACAAAAAAAACATTGATATAATTAAAAGTTAAATTAACATAATATATGTGGGGTTATACCCTACTAATACTTAAAACAAAATAGACAAGAATTTTGAACATTTGGCGCAGATCCCAAAAACAAACAGATCAGATAAATGGAAAGAAAAAAGGAAGGCAGTACAATTCAAAAAAAAAAAACATAGAGGGAAAAAATTGCAGCTACGTTAAATTGTGAATTTGTAATTCATCTCATTAAACTAACCTAAGTAAAAACCTTATCGCAGTCCAAACTTTTTATACGTTTACAATGCATTAATAGGCCGTTTAGTGAAATTAATTTAAAAATTCCATTTTTTTTTACTAATGACTTTTAAAAAATAAAAGTAAACATGTTTTTAAAAGCAACAAGCTTTCATTTTCAGGACTTTAATTATGCATAATAATAACGGGAGGCTCTTTAAATTAAAAAGCAGTAACATTATCTCGTATATTTTTAATGTTTCTTTTAAGGATTTCACCCCATTTCTTCATTAAAATCTACAAGGTAGAGACTTTGCAATTATAACAAACATGCATCCAATGTTTCTTGAATGTTTTTATATCTAGAACATGAAGGTTCTTAAATGAAATTTTGGGAAGAGATCTTTGAGATGAAGTGGTGAAAGGGGTTGCCGCCCAAACCACTATCTTAATAGAGGCGTCAAAAATTGTAAATAACGTAATATTGCAGGCTTGTATCCACTAACCTAGGAAGGATGTGTGGAGTTCCACTCTGGAGGGCCAACTAAATATTTAGACAATTATTAATTATCTGCGTTTTTTTTTTTTTTTTTGTGAAAGGGGTCATCCATTAATTATGTCAGCAAAATAGGAAGGGGCGTGGTGGCAATGTTTGATAATTGTTGACAAGGAGGAGAAAGTAGATTAGTTGACGTCAACAATCATATTTTCTCTATTTAAATTTTTTACTTAAAATTTTTCGACTTGTAATTACTTTATTTTAACAAATTTAATGAGTGTAAATTTAATCAGGTATTTAATTTTTAAGATTGTAACAATATAAGATTTATTTAATGTTTGCATGTCTGTGCAGTGCAGATGGCTAGTCAGACATTAGCACACTTTGCTAGTGCAATAAAAGTCAAAAGTTGATCACTCTTCATTCTGTAGATTCTGTTGCAGGTATTGAACAAGGACAAGGTTCAAGTGTCATGTGCAGTCAAGATGAATGATATTGATAGAGTAGGAATACGATATTTTGAGAATTAGTGGAAGTAAGGTGGGTAACAATAATAACATCGCTGCTTGAACGGATTTTTTAAAATCTGTAACATCTAATTTGCTCCACATGTCATGTTGAAATAGCACGTTCTACAGCACAAACAGTCCATACGAAATTACCACCTGCTCCTCAAAAAAAATAAAAAAATAAAAGCACTAATGCAAGTAGCTGCCAGGAGATATATATATATATATATATATAGAGAGAGAGCCTATGGCAATTTTCGCTCACACTGACAATGCTTCTATTTTAAGTGCTGAATGGTTAGATGAGGATGATGCTGACTTATCTGGTATACCAGTTTCCCAAGATGAAAATAATAAAAACGCTACCATGCCTATTGCTACGATAGAGTAACACCTGGCCCCTGCCTGGTGACTGCAGCTTGAAACTGTGCTAAAGTTGTGAGCTATACTGACAATAATCATATTTATACTTCCACAAACAATGATATTTCGTCTTTAACAACCTTTAATTGATTCTGCATAATACAATTTAAGTAAAAAACCTTTAAACTTGCTGATTAAAAAGATTAAAGATGCAATAAATCTTTTTCCTTACAATAAATTATTTGTTATTAAAATAGATCAGCACAAAGTAAAAGGAATTTGTATATTAATTTATATAATTAATTATTTTTTTTGGGGGGTGGGGGGGGGGGGGCGTGGTATACAAATTTTTACATAATTTTTTAGGGGAGGGTGGCTATTGAAAGTTTGACATTGCGTTCCTTCTCATAATTTTCATTAGCGATTTATTTTGATAGTTTATAATGCTCTTTAAATTTTTACCCATTTTTGATCTTAGAGACCTCTATAAATGTGTAAAAATATGTCAACTGATAGAAGTCAAGCATCTACAGTGGAACACTTTATGCAGTTTTCAAAAATGAATCTCATTCAAATGTTTTTTAAGATCTATTTAGAATCCAATTATCAAAAAATCAATAAAATGCGATAGTAAGAAAGTAAGATGGATTTATGTTTATTCTAAAGTTTAAAAAAAAAATGTTCATTCAATTCTCTACAAAATATTTCGTTCTTTTTATAACACCATCATGGCTTGTCCCAAGCCCTAGTGCAAAAGAAGGAACGTTGGCATGAGGCAAGCTACCTCGCCGGTAAAAAAAAACAAACTGCTACAGAAATGTTAACAAGAAGAAAAAATAATTGCATTCATGATATAAGAGCGCTCTTCTTCCCCAAGGAAAACTATTGGCCTTGAGACCAAAGCCAAATTATCCTGGAATCGTCAAAACAGAAGACCGTCCTTATAAAGGCGATATGCATAGGCTTTTAGAATGTTATAACCATGTAAGAAGCAAGGAATTCAGAAGAGTTGAAAAGATACCAACTCACACTGCTTGGCATCATTAAAATAAGCTGGATAGTTAACTTTGGCCCCTGGGGAAACACTAACAGAATGAGGACGTGAGGAGTAAAATGCTCCACAATCACAAAGGGTCGCTTTCATGACGACGACACGAATGGCAAAAGATGCATTCATTGGACGGGAAGCCTTTGGTCCGAGAATTATTGCAACACATTCCGAACCAGATGAAGAAAATAAATATGCATTTAATACAGTGCTATGCACCCATCAACAATAGTAAGAAAGGTCGAAAAAGAAGCGTTCTCAAATAGATTACACGCGACACCGGATACTTTCCAGGTAGAGATCTAAATATCTTAATGATTGTTCAAAATGCAACGATTAGAAAACAGTGTATACGAAACAAATTATGCGAGGCCATGTCATATGAGAAAGGAATGAGTACAGTGAAAGCTTGACAGAGTTCTGCATTGTTACTGAGCTCGTTATTGGGGCAGCGAATTCCAACATTAGAATATCCACAAGTTAACTTGGGAGTTCCTGACAGCAAAACAAAACAGAAAACAAATGTATCATAATTCATTTGTAAGCATAAAATTTAGAAGGTCTCAACAAGTTTTCCCAGAAAAAAGAAGAGGCAATGCTGCATCTGATTAACATCTAGTTTGTGTAAGACTCAAAAGCTAAAACTGAAAAACAAAATGGGAATAGCCAGCAGCTAAAAGACTAAAACTCAACATAACACTGCTGGCAAACAGGCAGTAATAACAGGAATTAAGTGTTATTTTAAGAAATAAGTTCCAGACACTGCAATACCACACAGATGATGATCAGATAGAACATAAATGACAAAAAGTAAACATGGATGTTACATCCACATTCAGTGATTTATTAGAACAATTTTTATTAGCAGCTAGCCAATTTACACGACGTTGCACAGGATTGCATTAGGACCCCTATCCTGGAAGAACCCCTTTCTAATGAGTCCCCAATCCCAATCTAAATCAGATCTCAGTGCCATCTCTTTTCCCGGTGTGATCCCATTCCCGGTGGGATCCCATTTCCTTTTGGCTCCGGATCCAGCGGGAATCCACATCGGGATCACGATCACGCCTCTGTCTTGATCCCATGGGGATACCGATCGCAGTGGATCCCGATGGGCTACAGATCCTGTTAGGTTTTGTCAAGATCCATATATTGATGTATGAATTTTAAGCATATTAATATTTATATAGCTTATATAAGAAAAAATGAAATTGTGCCCCCAGTATGGATATTATAAGTTCAATACCCTTCCGTATTTGAGTATGGATACTCAAGTGTTTGTGTGCTAAGTTTGTTCAATATTCATCTATTTATGTAGGAGTGTTTGTTGTTAATTTTATTTATATAGCTCATATATGGAAGAAAAAAAAATTCGGGTGGCCCGGTTGTGACCGTTCCGGGTTAAGTTTCGAAAAGTCTGCCAAATTTCAGGCTTCGATCTTTAGAGGAAGTTGGAGAATTAGTGATGAGTCAGTGAAAGAGTTTGTGAGGGCTTTACCTTTTATTATTATTAGCAATGTAATATACAATATTACGTTAACTGAGTAACTGAAGTAGTAACTTTTTAATCCAAATTAAACAATGTCATCTTTATAGTGTTAAAATAAATTAATTTTAAAATCTGAAGTTTGAATGCCTTATCTGTGATAATGTACTTATACATCAAAAATGTGAATTGAAAAAATTGGCACAGTTTATCCACTAGAAATGATATAAAAAGAAAGCTCTCATCCAGATACAAGAGGCCATAGAGACCGGTTACAGAAAACGAGGCTAGATAAAATAGAACAAAAAGAATAACAAAAATATTGGTGGAATACTAAAAGACTCACCCAACCAACCCCACATACAGACAGACACGCCAGATATACAACCAGCAAAGAAGATTTAAAAATAGAAGAATTTGATTTTCCCTGTTATGTAGATGACGTGTTTATGTCATATTTCCCCGTGCTGTGAACTCTAGCAGACAACGAGCAAGTCTAAACTGTCTAAACCACATTTAAGGTGTGGCTAGCTAAAAATAGTCTCTTGACCTAAATACAATAAATCGTCTGTACTAGTCGAATTTTGTTGAAAAATGTGGACTAAACTGAAAAGTAAAACTATGTGTTAAGCGGATCCAGATTCATCAGTTGAAGAGACTATACAAAGTTGAGAGATATGATTATCGAGAGATAAGGTTTTTACTTTACGGAACGACAAGCTAGCAAAAGTTTTTCTTTCCTTTTGGGCACGTTGTAAATTTCATCCACTTTTGTGTCAGTACAAGAAACACAATACTCTGTTATTTCTTTTATTTTGTAATTTATTAGTAACTTAATAAAACTTATTAATCGCAGTTAGCACTGTTTTGAGAAACGCATTCTTGTTGTTGTTTTATTATTTGGTATCTTCCTGTTATGCACTGTTTTGAAACGAGCCATACATATAAATAAGAGATTAAGTGTGCCTGTGGATAGCAGTGCGTAAAAAATGGGTTGCCCGTCCGTGGATACCTGAATCAATATTTGTATTTCTTACAAGTCCCCAATTTAATAAAATTTTGGGAAAGTTCTCATAAAAAAATAAGAAAATTGGTTTTCTTGTCCTGAGATAATTTGAAGCCATAACTTTTCTTATTACACCAAAAATAAATTGAGTGTTTGTATATGAATTTAGACCCACTGTTTTCCTTAATTTACTCTGACTATCTAGTACATGATAACATTCCTTATGTTACCATACCAAAAACAGAGCTAGCTGCATTTTTGGGGGAGGGGGAAACCTATTTTCATAAGGGTTTTCACTAAGGTTAAAATAAATTTAAAAAAAAAACTTTATGTTATAATTTGCCTGTGTCAAAATGGATGCTGATGTTGAAAACCCATCAGTAGAAAAATGTTCTAGAAAGGAGCTATTTTCCATTGCTAAAGTTTTATGAATAAATGTAGCTCATTCTGCAGTAAAAAAGACCGTAAGAGATATGATCATCGTCTACTTAATGGATGAGGATATGTTGTCTGAGGACGAACTGGCCTCAGTCACACAACCGCATGATCCTAGTATGGAGCTCCAACTGAAGCTAAAAAATGGAGCTAAGAAGCACATAAAGAAATACAAATAAAATTAAAAGAAATGGACATAACTGCCCATTTGGAAGAAATGGAGAATAGACTTATGGCTACTGTCAGTCAGGGTTGCAATGCAATTAAATTTGCAAAAGTATTACCTAATTTTGCAGAGAAAGACGTTTGACAATATTTTGTATAGTTTGAAAAAACTTACCAAACATTTAAAATTTCAGGAAAATATTTGGTCTACAATACAATAATCAACATGCTGCATATTACGTTTTAAAAGATTTGGGAAGAAGAAAGAGTTCCAAAAGATTTGAAAGAAGGATACATCGTCAAGATACCAAACAAAGGGGACTTTAGCCTCGGTCCAAGTCACAGAGGAATTACACTGTTGTCTGTACCAGGAAAAAGTATTTAACAGAATCGTTTTGAATTGAATGAATGACTAGTTCGACATACACCAACGAGATCAACGGGCTGGCCTCCGCCGAAACAGATTATGCACAGATTAAATTGAAACATTACGAATTATTGTAGAACAGTCCATCAAATGGCCCTACCTCCTATATATGAATTATATCGACTAAGATAAAGCATTTGATAGCCTGGACCTAGAAACCTAGTATAAACTTCGACATTATGTGGACAATTAGACACGATTATTCAGAATTTTTATGAAGAAATGACATGCAGGGTTGTACACACAGGTAGACTTCCAGATGCCCTTAAACCGTGGAAACAGGACTCAGACAAGGATTTCTCTGTCCTACTTTCTATTCATCCTTGCCAATGACTGTATACTGAAAAAAAATCCCCAGAAAAAAAGGAGGAACAGAATACAATGGACACCCAGGGAACAATTGAATGACCTAGACTTTGCAGATGACATTGCACTTTTGTCCCACAACCACCAACAAACGCAGGAAAAGAAAAACATATTTACTCAGCCGATCTCGGACTCAATATAAACAAAAGCAAGACAAAGATCATAAAGATAAACTCTGCCAATCAAGAGCATATCTCTATGGCAGGAAATGAACTTTAAATAGAAGAGGCCTTAACATACTTAGGCAGCAGCAAGGCAAATTGTGGATGAGAAGCTGATGTAAGGGCTAGAATGTGAAAGGTTAGATCACCATTTGTACTATTAAAGAAAATATGTGAGTCAAAGGAGCTGACTCTCCACAACAAAGAACGAATTTTCAACAGAACTGACACAACAGTCCTACTTTAGCAAAATTTATTCAGTTATTGAAAGAGACTTTGATATAAAATCAATTTATAATTAATATATTTTCAACGCTTATATAGAATAATATAGAACAAAGCAGAACTTACTCTATACTTTCAACTTAGTCTTATTGAGCCCATACCCATATCTTCTTCTATATCTTAAGGGCTCACGATCAATTTATTGATCATTTTGGCTCCTATGCATGTAGATGGGATTTGCAATGTTTCTGTTACTGGTGGTGATGAGGAAATTATGCACTAGGGGTTTGAAGGCTTGAGGCAATAGACACAAATGTGTCTAATGTTGTCGCCTCAACTGTTCCTTTTGAAAGATGGTTCCAGTCCCTGATTGTCTTGGGCAGGAATATTCATAGGCTATTAATATAAGACAAATATCGTCACAGCACAGAAAAAGCCATTTATAGTGGTCCTTAGGCTTAGGACAGGACTTAGGCATAGAAAGCTAAATTATAAGTTATGGCTTCGATGCCGTTAGTAGGAAACAAAACATAGTCATACCAAAAGATACACCAAAACATATAGAGTAACAAAATAATATTATCAAACAAGTTTCAAATGAATAGAAACACATTGTTTCAATTGTTTGGTAAGTCTTAATCTGAATTCTAGATTCAAACTTAGATGCAGCCGCTTCATGGTTCACTGTGGTCATTATTTAAATAACAATTTGAAGTTTAATACACGAAGTAAGCGTAAAGAAAAGAAACAATTCACTTAACTTAAGTCCACCAAAAACAATTTTCTAACTTTAAGAAAAATAAATTTAATACTTACACCTTATGTCAAAATGTGTCAGTAACTGCAATTAAACGGCAAGTATTGTCAACTCTTGGCAGCCACTTTATAGCTGAGCTCTGCTGAGACATGAAGAGCTTTGTTTGTTTGTCATGCTCCCAGGTTGTCTAAATCTGTCATAAGAGGGATCTACCGAATAAAATGTAGGCTTACAATCTTAAATACCATTATAGATATATATAGATATTTCCTAAAAAGAATAACGACCATTAATACTAATTGATATTCTTACAAATACTTTTTGATAAGTTTTCAGCTGTATAATTCATATTATTACAATGACAGGTACATATACTTCTAAATTGTTTCTTCTAAAACAAGTGATATATCATGTCATATTGGAAATAATAACATTTTTAAATATCCTCACACATATCTAATTTTGTGAACATGTAATTGACATTTTTCCCCGTTTAGGATTCAAAATTAAATTAGTAAATGATTACATATTTAGAAATGTATAGGGCATATTATTGTACTATATTAAATTATATATATTGTTATGTTAATCTTCAAATAATTCATAGCAAAATCAATATTGTTGGGTCGAGTATCGAATCGCCTAATAATCATATTAAAATCTTAAATTTCTAAGGTCAAACTGATTCTTTAAAAAATTATTTAAAAAAATAAATTAT